GGGGGGAAGTGCGGGCGGAAGTTGAGGGAGAATGATGATTTGGGGGGAAGAACAAGAAGGAGGCAGAAAGACGGAGAGAGATTAAGATGGCGGGATAGTGACCTGGCAAGGCACCAGCGTGGCACCAAGCAGAAGGTCGAGAAGGGGGAGGAGAAAAAGAGAAAGGAGAGAGGAAGAGAAGAACGAACGAACGTAAAAAAAGAAACGAGCGGGGGAAGGAAGAAAAAGAAGAGGAGAGGGAAGCTGGGAAGGAAAAGGAGCTTCCCCGATGGGATGAGATGGGATGGAGTCGAGAGAGAGCGAGGAAGAGAGAGAGAGAGAGAGAGAGAGAGAGAGAGAGAGTTAGTTAGAGTTAGTTGGTTGGTTGGTTAGAGAGGGGAGAGCCGGACGGGGGGGGGACTATGGCGGCGGTCGGAGGAGTAGCAAATGATGCATTGGGGATGTGAAACAACAACTCTGGCCGGAACCCCAAACACAATGGATTATGGGACACTCAGGATGTAAATAGAACTGACAGAGGTGAACTGGAATAATAGGGAAAATAGCAGGGGGTGGGTAAAAGGGAAAAGGGAGAGGGAGAGAGAGAGAGAGAGAAAGAGAGTGAGAGAGAGTCGAGATGGGAGAAGAATAATAATACGATTGATGAGGGAAAGGGGATAAAGGGGATCGATGTAGTAAGTAGTAAGTAGCAGTAGTAGTTTACTTGGTAGTAATAGTAATAGTTAAGTGGTGGTGGTGGTAGTAGTAGAGAGTTACATACGGGAAAGGAAAGAGTAGTTCCAAGAGGGAGAATTTCTGCCTACAACTAAACAACAATCATCATCATCATCATCATTATCTTATTCTAATCCTGCAATTTATTTTTAAACCTGCCATGGCCTTGTCTCTCTCTTACTCTACAAAAATAAGAATCGTGTCATACGAATAATTAAGAATAAAAATAATAATAATCAGCATCCCAATGGGCATTTGAATAATGCAGCCTGGCCGATGGATCCTGCCTTTCGCTCTCTTTCTCTCTGCACAGCTCAATCGGATGCCCTGGAGATGTAGATCTCTTAGGCCCTGTAAGCCCCATTCTCCATCTGTGTCTCTTACTCACATTCCGACTAAACCATTTACCATCACTACTTTATCTTCTACATTGTCTACTTGGAATATTTATATCCTTCTGTTTCACTTTCGAGATCGTGACTCTGCTCAGCCTCTTTGATGTTGCTATCCACTGATCCGTTCGAGACCGAGAGACAGTACCGTGGTTCGCTACCATCTCCTGCTCCATCTTCTATACTACTACACCGTCTCTTTCGCAGTCCCCATCTTGATGCCTATTATAGAACAGATTCTTCAACTATTAATAATATCACTCTCCACCACCAGCCTACTGATGCTAGATTCAGTCCATTCTACCATCACTCTGGAAACACGAACTCACCTACGATAATATATATAGAAAAACCATTTCAGCTGGCTTGATAGAAGTCGTATCTCTCCATCGCACTTGCCATCCGGATGCTCTTTCCTGATGCGCCTCTCGTAACCTCGTAGTCTAGCCAGATGATTCCCCGTCCCCATCAGAAATAGCTGCATACTTCTGCCCGCCTCTACACACTTCATGAAAGAGAAAGATAGATAAACTCACAAGAGCACATATAGTTGTTCCTGTTGCTCTAATCACGGTTGTTTTTCTATATCATTTCTCATCTACTATCGTCCTAAGATATCCTACATCACTACCATGATTCGATACAAGCCTACACGTATTGCTCTGGGCGATGAGGATCTCCGCTATCATCTGGAAAGGCTGCTTATTCGCCATTCTCGCATGGCCGAGTGGCATCGGCAAGACCTCGACCGTGACAGCTATAGTGATGATAGTGTAGCCTTCTTGGGTTCGGATTTCTTTTCGCCCTACAACCTCTCTCCGGGCGGTTCCGTCTGCAGCTCGGGCCCCGACTCTCCTAGTCAAGGTTCCTGGCAGTCGAATCAAGACTTTGAAGTTGGCCATTCAGGATTATCCTCCTTGTTCAATGAACCAGATGACTCATTGTCTGTGGTGGTGCAAGATGAGATGCGGACCATGAGCACCTGCTCATCAGGTCTCCGTGGGCCCCTGTCCAAAAAGTCCTCTCGAACAGGTGAAGAGCACCATGTGACAGAGACTACGCATCAACTCTCATTGAAGACTATTGACAGCAGGCAACTCTCCGGTCAATCACCGGGAAAGCGGGGCCGTGAAAGGCTGCATCCTCATTCACTGACCTGCCAGCCTCTCACTATAGCAACCGTACCATCCATCAATATCCCCGCTAGTGTTTTCTCGAAGAATGGTGGAAGGTGCTTGATAGTACCACATCGTCCCTCAATTTCTCACCCGCTTCTCCTTGGCATCAGGGAACTGAATCGAGAAACTCTTTCATGCAGCACTCAGTTGGCAGGTAGCTTGCTGAATTTCATAGACACACCGGATGAAGTAGGTGAGCTTCAAATACCATTCTCGGGACTCACAGCCAGCAAGTGTTAACTTGGCTATTTTTAGAGAACCTGAGACAGACGTGGTCGACAATTAAAGTGCAAGATTCGGATCTCCGTCCGAGCCTTGATCTCGAGATCCGCTCAGGATCCACATGTGTTAATCTAGCTGCGCAACAAACACAATTAGTTGACTTTCCTGCACGGCCCTCTTCCACACCAAAGGCGGCGCTGGAGGTGATCAAGATGCCCGGTGCAGATATTTCGACCAGGAAGACACGCGGCCAGCGGGCCAACCTCTCGTTGCCGGGGTCTGCTGCCGTCCATCACAATGGCCCTGGTGAAAGATCGGGTGCAGAGATTACAAAAGCTCCAGTAGCACTTCCCACTAAATTGCAGAACAGTGCGAGGCCAAGGTCCACCGGAGCACATCGGTCCAACCCCATTCGAAAAGTAGGCCCAGCATACCTGAGAGCGGATAAGATAGACTCAGCTAACAAAGAGCAAGGCTCCTAGGAATATAGTCTCGCATGGTACGCAGACTCAGACTGAGCAGGCGTCGTTATTACCTGAGCAAGGCCATGGGGGAACGGTAACACATCAGGCTGTGAATTCCTCGCTAGCTGCTCCAGCAGAGGTAGGTGCCGATCTTTCGAGGATTAGATAGACAGTTGAAGGTCTGATGCCCTTCCGTCATCCACAGGGAGTCCAAAACCATGGTCATGAACACAATCCTCCGCAAGAACACATGGTGCGGGAGGGGCCCGCCATTTCAGGGCTACTTCGAAATATGCGTTTTCAGAAGAGTCAGAACGCCAATAGATTCAATTTAATTGCTTCTATGCCATCGGCAAATCCACCGGTACCCGGTGGTAGAGGAAGCATGGCAGCTCCACATGACCACCGCTCCGAACCATGCATGGATGTACGTATGCACTCACGTAGCCCTGTTGCGCTGGCCATCGTTAACACCTAGACAGACCCGAGCGTCGGTCAACCCGTACCTGAAGGAGGCCATGGAGTTCGATAGCTACGTCACCTTCATGACGGATGAGTTATACGAGAAAGTTGAGGTTGATGTCAAGGACTATGGCCCAACCATTCTAGGTTTAACCCAGCAATTAAGCTCGCAGGGTAATTGTTGATGATGGCGTGTTGTGTGGAGAGGGAACGGTTGGGATGACAGCAGGGTGGATAGGAGCATGTCATCCGCGGTGGGGAGACAGCTGAAAAACAAAAAGCACCGACGACAGTTGATATCACGCCTAGTCAAGGACAGACAGAGAGGGTCATGGGAACTGCTGTGAGGGGATAGGATTGATTGAGTGATGATACGTCGACCTCCTTGCTGCACCGGAGAATTTGGCCCGTACCGGGGAAAAGTGAGCTTCTAATGCTAAAATTGACTTGCTTGGGATTCCATCCCTATGAGGTGTCATATGGTCGGAGGTGTATTCAAGATTCTCATACGCCATGCAGGGCTCAGCCATTTTGCCTCAACCTGTTGCGTGGATGGGACGTAAAGCATGGGGGGCGGAGTTGGTGTCCGGACCCAATGAAGGGTGAGATCTCGTGAGGCTAGTCGTCATCCATCCCAATGAGCCCAGTCGACACGCAAGCTGCAGAAAATTCAGTAATGATGGTGTAGTGTAGTGTAGTGTAGAGGAGTGACGGTGTAGACTGGGTTGCTCGGATAAGAAGCGAACTCGACCGACAATAAGGCTGAAGCGGATGGAATTCGAAGCTGCCAACTTGCGTTATGTAACCATATAGATGTATGTATCCCTCTTCCCTGAAAGATACTATCATTACTGCAAAAAACAAACCCAGACATCACCATTATTACCTTAGTATCACCTCAATACTAGCATAATCCTAGATAACTACAGAGTATCTACTATCCATGAAACAAACCACCCTCATCGCCATCATACCCCATTCAATCGTCATCGCCCATACATGAGGGGCAAGTTAACAGATAGTTCTGACCACCTGTCCTACCTGGGCTAGACTACGAGTAATAATCAAAATCTATTTTTACATTGGGAATTTATCTTCCTGTGGATGCTGAATAGATAGTGGATACCTATTTTCTGCACGACTCTCCCAATTTCGTCTTTTTCCTTTCTTGGGTTTAGTTCTACTTACGCGTCCTGCCCCAGTGCGCTATACCGCTTTAGGTGTTTGGGGTGGGTGGGCTGGTTTCCCCCTTCTTGGCATGGGTGAGAAGTGGTGGTGGTGGCGGGTAATGGATGTTCCGGGGGGAGGATAGTAGTAAGTACTAGTAGTAAGGTTGGAAATTGATATTATCATGGTATAATATATCTACTATGTATGTAAGTAGTATTCGCTTGATGGTTCGCTCCCAGGTTGGGGGCATATGTATATGTGAATGTATATATGTATGTATGTAAGTATGCCTGCAGCATGATCATATATAGTAACTGCTGTGATACTACTATAAGTACTAATAATATATCACCACCAGTACTGCTTACTAATGAGCACATGCTCAACGATGGAATACTAATTACGTGAATAGTAGTAGTTACTAGCATGATACCTACTAGATATACAGTACTTAGAGCATGAGTCAAGAAAATTTCCGACATGCTCGTTCTGTATGTAGTCAGTGCTCTCTCAGCTCGAGCTCGAGCTCGCACTCAGCCTTATGAGACGGCGGGTGGGTGGGTTGTGTGGATTGGGGGATGTGGGTTACTACTGAGGAAAATATGGAGTTATCACACGGTAGGGTAGATAGATAGTATGTCAGATATTGATTAATAGCTAACGGTAGATCCCATGTTTCACTACGTATGTCTTACACGGAATACCGATTGGACCACTGCAGTAGTATTTATTCTCTTGGTGAGTGGTGTACATAAGTACGAAGTTGTAGTAGAAGACTCCATATGTGTGGGTTTGATGTATTCCATACTACTCCGTTCAGCATACTCCATACTCCATACTCAGTTGTTGCGATGCTGCTATATATCACATTGCTATACTTGATCGGGACAGAAGTGAGCGAAAATAGAAACGCCCTGCATGGGCTGATGTGCTGCACACATTGCCTCACTTCGGTGGGTGATACATGTGTCATCTGTCATGAAGCTGGATTCGATCTCCACGGGGTCGCGGCGAGACATGTACCCGGCATACGTAAATCAGCAAATTAAATCCCCAACAGAAAGACACGCGTTCGATAAGTAACTTCTATTCATGTCTAGTAGATGGAGCAAAAGACGGCTGGAAAAGTGGATGATGATACGCATCACAAAAATGCCAAGAACATCTCCCATACATCGCTTTCAATGAGCCAAAGAGCAAAAAGAAAATTGGTAAAATAAGTTAAATAGATAGGACAAGAAGTAAAAAAATGACGAAATATGGCTCCCGTTGATCGTGATCAGATCTCTAAACAAATCTTTTGCCCCCTGGAATCATTCAAGAAAAAAAAAAAATTAAAAACCCGTGTAATTCTATTAACATTTCAACCCTTTACTGCGCCTGGCTCTTGGCGAAAGCCTGGGCGCCGTCAACCAGCCGACGCTCGGTGTTCTGTCTACCGTTGACGAAGTCAGGGTAGTTGAGGGTCAGCTCGACAGCGCCGTTGACAATGTTGTCAACAGCCTCAACACCGAGCATGAAAGAGTGGTCCTGGTTACCGACCTCGTAGCGCCAGCTACCGAAGCGACCACGGGTCCAGATGTCCTTCTCCTGGAGTCTGGGCAGGATCTGGGTAAGAGCACCCTCACGCTCCAGGGAGGGGGTGGGGTAGCCGTGGTCGAAGCGGCGGTGGTAGGTGGAGACAATCTCATCGGTGGGCTTCAGCATCTCGGTGTTGACGAGACCCTGGATGCAATCAGCCAGGAGAGTCTCGTGGTTGACAGGCTTCATCGAAGACTCGGAAACCTCCAACATGATGGACCAGTAAGGACCCTCCTGAGCCTCAGTGCTCTGGGGCTTGGAGCCATCCGCAAGCTGCAGAGTGGGAAGCTTCTTGGAGCCCTCGGGCTGGTTGTGGGGGGAGTAGTTGGAGAAGATGGTGGCACGGTAGAAGGGGCAGTTGTCCTCGGGGAAGTAGAGCTAGTAACGAGCATGTTAGTTTTAAAGTCATTCATGGTTTCCATCTGAGGTCAACTTACCCAGCACTTGTCACCGATTCTCTCGGGGCGGGTACCACGGATACCGACACCAATGACGTGAGTGGAGGAGTAGAAGAGCTGCTTGGTGAGGCCAACGAGCTCCTGGTCGCCGATCTGCTCAGCGAGGAAGTCGACAGCCATGGTGGAGACGAGCTTCTTGTAGCCGACAGTGGTGCCATCACCTAGGGTGACAGTCTTGTTGTTGGCATTGACCTTGACGACCTTGCCCTTCTCACCGAAGCGAGTCTTCTCCTTGGGGATAGTGTCGGCGACGGCAATCCAGATACCACCGGTACCACCACGGGCGGGGAAACGGAAAGTAGCGTTAGGACCCCAGTTACCAGCGGTCTTGTTAAGGATAACGTTGGTCGTCACAGCCTTGACGTTAGGGGCAGCAACACGCTCACCCAACCAGGCACATTGCATCTAATGAGAATCAGCACGCCGTTACTTGCCATGATGGTCCATCGTATCTTACCTTGGTCGTAGGCACAGCCCAAACCTTGAAGTTGTAGGGTCTCATGAAAAGGTCGGCGATACCGACACCCATCTGGCGAACAATCCACTCATCGAAGTTCTGGGGCTTGGTGTTGGCGACACGAGCCTCGAGGGCAGCGTCGATCAGGCCATCGATACAGCGGACCTGCTCATGCTTGGGAAGCATGGAGATGTTGTTCTGGAAGGGGTAGGGAACCCATTGGCCCTGGCAGCGAACGTAGGAGATACGCTGGTGGGTGTACCAGTCGTCATCCTTGGGGAGAGCCTCGTTGATGCAGTCATCGAAGTACTTGTAGTGGGAGAAGATGACGTGACCACCAACATCGAAGAGCTGTGATTGTCACGAGTCAGTCGCTGTTTGCTTGACCAGTGCAATGCCTGCCCATTGAGGGGAAAGTGGGAATCAACATACGAAGCCTTCGGGGGTCACATCGGTGGAAGCAAGACCACCGGGGGTCTCGTTGCTGTCAACGATCAACCAAGAGGGGCCATCCTACACCCGCGAATTGTCCAATTAGCCTTTATTCGAGTGAAGGTATACGATAGGGGGCGCGCAATGCGTACAATCTGGTTAAGACGCTTCGCGGCACCGAGACCAGTAGGGCCGGCACCAATGACGAGAACGTCGACGGAGCTGAAGTCAAGCACAAAGACAACGGTCAGCAATTGTTCCAATGAGCTTCTTGTTGTAGTGAAGGCAAGCTTGCCGTTGGAGGGAGGGGGAAAGGTCTCCTTACATATCGGGGTGGGTCATCCTGCCTTGTAGAATATCCTGAAAGCTGGGGACACGGTTCAAAGTCCTGCGGGCGAGGCTGAGCATAGAAAACGAGCCTTGTGAAGCTGCAGGGACAGCAGAGTTATAAGGAGAGAGATGAGAGGGGAGGAAGAGAGAGAGAGAAGAGAGGTTGGTGATGGAGGGAGCAAGAAGGGGAGATGGGCGGGAAGGTATAGGTGTATCCGTCCTGCGGTCGGTCGGGAAAGCGAAACGTGACAAGCAAGCGGTGGGGGGCGCTTGGAATCGGTTTCAAGTTTAGGCCCTAATAGATCAAGCAATCGGATTATCGGATTTCCCCAAAAAAAGTCGACTAATAAGTAATAGCAATACGTGTCGCCGAAGCCCCAGTCGCGGAGCCTTGGAAAAGGGGCAAAGGGGACAAAGCTAATTTCCAACCCCAATCAATCCAAATCATCCCTCATCTTAAAGGTCTGGAGGACGCATGGGTCGGGGCTGATCGATTCATGCAATTCACCATTCATTCGTTCTGGGTAATTTTAAAAGAAGTAAAAAAAAAAGTACACGAAGATAAAAATATCATTAAAAATAAAATAAACCAAGAATTATTCCGGGTTGCCAACCATTGATACACCTTTCCTTGCGCCATCTGCGCGTTTGCTGCTTTTTCGTTGGATCATAGCTAGGCAATCGTTCCGTAGCCCAGCAGGCAAATAGCCATTTCTAGCCCCATGAACGCATCAAAATGTTCAAGAATAGTATCCGACTGCGTCCAGCCAGATGCCTACTACCGCAATAAAGAATATTCCGCTGATTCCGATCGTACGATTGGCCCTTGTTGTCGCACTGCTTATCGTTATATCTGAATGCAGCATCATCACCACCTCCCCCAAGTCCGGCGTCAAAGCTCATCCACCTGCAAGCACTGTGATACGGGATCCTTGGGGTTTTCTCGGCAGGCACCGGCCTGCCAGGGGCTATCGTCTAGTGGAATGCATGCGCGTTGCTCATTCTTGGTTTTAAGGGTCTCTAGCTTCTACGGCCTACGGAGTCCTAGCATCTGCTTTTCTCCGTAGAGCTCCATCCGCTGGCGGAGCGACGGTTGCCGTTTACCAAGAACGGTAATGCAGTTCGGCGATGGATCTTGTGTACCCCACGAGAGCATCATGAATTCCGTTCGAT